TTTTCTGGTACCAACAACCATCCATTGGCCTGGGCTAGTTCCCGTTTACACCTGGGCGACCGTAGGGCTTGCAGACATGAGTGACAAGTCCCTGCTGCAAACCGTAGTGCAGACCTGTCTCACCCCACACCCCCACCCCAGCCCAGGAACCAGAATAAACTGCCCCCCGGGCAAACCACAGCGTCGTCCGTCTGCGCTAGGCCCTAGCTGGGTTTTACTGGTAGAACTATGTGGGGGCAGGGCTGCGAGTATGTTACTGCTTCAGTGATGCCAGTCGAAATGTGCTTTAACTGGCTACAGGTTATGCCCCCTCCTGTACCGGAGTCGCCAGTCCACTGTTAACACCGTTAGCCCAATTGACCTGCCTCCCAGGAGGGAGTTTGAACACTGGGACTAGCCCGGGCTAGCGAAGGCAGCAAAACTTCCTCACGTAGGCAGGCCGCTGGATGGGTATGGCCGAATGCACAGGGCGGTTGCCAGGGCTACAGCGTGGCGGGGGGGCTGCTGTCTGGAAAGGGAGCTGTTGATTCACCCAGATGCTTTTAGGATTGGGGAAAATTGCTGAGGAATTCACAGAAAACCATCTCGCCCCATGTATTTTCCTTATGGTTCAGTGAATTCTTTGGACCCAAGGGGGTCATGGGACAAACAGCCTCTTTCTCTGCGGGCAGTACAGCCCAGAGCCGATCCCTGTTCCACCTCGGGATTGGCTGGGTAAAAGCATTGGACGTTTTTAAAAACCGCTCTGCTTTGACCTTGGTGTGTATTGGATATTCACGCTGTCGACGAGCTGATTGGTCACGGAGGCTGGTGCCTGATTGGTGGAGCACACAAGCATCTCCGGCACAAATTCTCATTGGATAACATGTAAGCTTCAGTGCCTGAGACTATTCGTACAACTGACTGGAAGTCGCTGTCCTGGCTCGGATGCAGCATCAGCGTGTGAGCCGGGCCCAGTCACTGCTTCGCTGGGCCTCAGTTTCCCCACCTGTTAGATGGGATCATGATACCCTCTTTGGTAAAGTGCTTGGAGCCCATTGACTGGGCCAGGTCGCCAGCACCACAAGGCTCTTGGGAGAAGTGGAGGTGGGAGCGTCCCTGGGGACAGCGGGAAAAGGCTGGTGCGCGTCCTACTAGAATGGCATTGCAAAGCCATTGTAGCATCGTCTTGGGCAGCTGTGACCAACTGCCTGCTGAGAGCTAGTTTGCAGCCCTCACCTGGGCCTTGCTGCAGGGGGCTCAGTGTAAGGACTGGGCGGACCCATCTCACAGGGACACATCTGTAGGTCATTTCTGGTGTAGGCGATGCCCACCAAGGGGCTTGCAGCTGGCAGCCACCACCAGATGGTAGCATCCTGCCCCCGCCCCCCCCGCCCCCGGCGAGGGGAGCTCCCTGATCTGCTCCCCGCAGACTAGAGCTGAGCATGAGCGGGTGGGGCTGGCAGCTCCCCCTAGTCTGGGCCAGGGCCTCAGCGAGGCCAGGTGTCTCCCCGCTTGCTTTTACACCCATTTCACTGACCAAACCGAGCGGCTGCTCCCCTGAGAGCTCCCCCAGCTCCCACCTGCAGCCCTGGGGCCCCTTTGGTTTTCTCCTCAGCCTGGGTCGTCCTTGAACCCTGGCCACAGCACTCATGCAGGAGGGGTGGGGGTGGGGGGCAGGAGCCCTGTGTGTGACATGCCGGCCTCCAGCTGGTGAATGGGCAGGGCTTTACCTGCCAGCGCATCCCCCAGGGCCAATGGACAGACTCCTCCCACTGGGCCCAGTGGTACCAGCACTGGGCCTGGGGAGGCCGCACTGGAGGCAGCCCAGCTGGTCTATGTGTTAATAAGTGTCTGGAGCGGCTGCTGCTGGGTCTCTTGGGCTACCTCCGGGGCCTGTTCCATCAGCCATTCCAGCCCAGCTTCCATTCCGCGCTCCCTCCTTCGGCAGAGAGGGTTAAATCCCACCGCACGCACCACACGGGAGCAAGTGTCAGACCCGCCCGATCTGCTCTCAGATGCTGGCCTCACACAGCAGAGTCCAGACTCACCCCTCTGGGGGTTTGGCTTTATTAACACAAACAAATTAACAATACAATCCGAAAGCTCAGCTCAACCCTTCTCCCTAGGCTGGGCTGCTCATTGGGCTCCTCCCACAGGACTGCTCAGCCCACACCCCAGATCCTCTCCCCCCAGCAAGCCACCCCCACCTCCCTGATACCCTGGGTAGGTAACTAGTCACTGATGGGGGTGAGGCAGTAGAACTCACTTATCCCTTTCCCAGCAGGGTCAGCACCTGTTAACAGTGTGGGATTTCAGGCTAACAGGTTAGAGTCTGTGGAGGAAAGAAGGCAGCATGGCCTACCAAAAAGGGGGATGATCAAGGACTGTGGTTTCTAGCCAGAGACTATCAGGGTTGGAAGGGACCTCAGGAGATCATCTAGTCCAACCCCCTGCTCAAAGCAGGACCAATCCCCAGACAGATTTTCACTACCGATCCCTAAATGGCCCCCTCAAGGATTGAATTCACAATCCTGGGTTTAGCAGGCCAATGCTCAAACCACTGAGCTATCCTCCCCTGAGTCCCAGGTTGCATATTGATTCCTGGTGTGGCTTTGGGGAAGTCAATATTCCACTCTGTGACTCAGTTTCCCCATATGTCAACAGGGATAATGCTCCTGTTCTTCCTCTGAGAAACCCTCTGAGGGTCTGGCTGGAAGGTGCTGACTAACCAGAGCATCTAAGGCTTGGACTGAGGATGCAGGAATGTGCGATTATAAATAAATAAATCCTATCTCCTAGAACTGGAAGGGACCTTGAAGGTCATTGAGTCCAGCCCCCTGCCTTCACTAGCAGGACCAAGTACTGATTTTGCCCCAAATCCCCAAGGATTGAACTTACAACACTGGGTTTAGCAGGCCAATGCTCAAACCACTGAGCTATCCCTCCTCCCTAATTGATGAGCTACCACTTTATTACTGAATGCATGACCTGACTGCAGCAGGTGAATGGGAAAGACACGGGGGGACTTTTCTGCAGCTTTCTGCTGGCCAAAGGACGCTGGGAGGGTGGGCTGTTAAAAGAATGGGAAAGCCAAGAAATACCCGGGGGCTTGCTACCTAAGGGCTGGCTACACTAGACGGTTTGGCCACTTTAGCTACACCAGGAGAGTTAAGGTGTATAACCCAGTGCTTATACCGGTCCAGCGTATGCCAGTTGGGCAAGCAAGATAAGCTACCCCAGCACACGGCCTTTCAGATCCATATGACTGTGTCCAGACTAGGGGGTGTACCGAGATAAGGCTATGGGTAAAACAAATAACACCTCCCTCTCCCCGCACAGACAGTTATATGAGGGCAAACGCTGTGTGTGGCGCAGGCCTTAGCCAGCCAGGCCTTGGGGATCCTGGCAGGCTCTGGTGCCTGGGGAGCTCTTGCAGAGAGACTGGTGGCTGCAGCGCCTGAGAGGGGTGAAGCCCCCCAGGGTGGGGCGGTCCAAAGAACTAGGGCCCAGCTCCTGAAAGGTATGTCAATAACACCTTTGTGAAGCTGGCACTAATGGTTTAGGCGCATAAACCCCAGTGACTCTCCATGGGGCTTGTGCGCCTCACTCCCTTGGCACTTACAACGCCCCCAGAGTTGGATCTTAGGAAAGGCCCTGCTCGTCGGTGCTGCCGGGCTCTGCCGATGAGCCGCCCCCACTGCCCTAGACACAGTCCCTTGGGGACGGGAAGCCCCTCCCAACCCTGCCTCCCACGGCAAAGGGGGAACTGGCCGGTTCAGTGACTATACAGCTTAACGTGGGGGGTTGGCGATGTAAGGCCTTGGCAAGGGAATTTAGTACTGTGCCTTTAAGGCAGCCAGGCCTCCGGCTAGGGTACAGCCCAGCCTCCAGATTTGCACCAGAGCTCAGCTTAGACGCCTAAGTAAGTGGGCAGATTTGGGGCGAGGCTCAGCACCCTCCCTGCTGCCCATCCAGTCCGGGCTGTGGGCCGAGCCGTGAAGGAGTTGCTCGCAGGGGATTGTGCCTTGCTGCAGGGGCCCGAATCCAGCCCGGGGCCCCACATCCCCTTGTTTGCAGCGTGTGTGTCCCGTCAATAAAAAGCCTTGTTCTAGGGGCGGCACGCAGAGGGTTTGGTCCTCCCGGTGCTCAGCCCCAGCCTGCCTCGGGCTGCTGGGCAGTTCCCCAGAGGGCCTGGGTCCTGGTCCCAGTCCCAGGGGCGCAGGGCAGCGCTCTGCCAGGATCCTGTGCCCCTCGGCTTCCACCAGGCCTGCCAAGAGTCTGTCAGGGCCAGCAGGGGACGAGGGGGCTCCAACCCCTTCCTGGCTCACACAAAGGACCTGGGCTTTTCCTCGGCTATCCTGGCTCCCCATGGAGCCCCCTAACCCAAATCCAGCTAGGGCCCCCACAGCCCCTCACCCAGGCAGCAGAGCCAGGAGGTGGGGCTAAGGTGCACCCGCTGCTGTCCTCCGTATCCTGGCTCCGAACAAGGCTGGGAGGACGGCGTGTGGCCATCTCCAGCTAACACAGACAAGGCTGCTGCTCCTGGTGACTCCAGCCAAACCCGCTCCCTTGTGTCAGCAGGGCCGTCGACTATTACCGGCACCGGCGCTCCCAGAGAGGGGAGCAGCGATTGCAAGTCGCCAGCCGGCCGGCTCCCCAGGCTCTGTCCCGCCTGCAGAGCTCAGCGCTGGGCACAGAGGAGAGAGTTAAGCCGCACGGGAAAGCGCCACCCTGCTAATCGCTATGGGGCGGGGGAGGGGGAGAAAGGGTCAAAACCCCAGCGGATTCCAAGCCCCACGGCGAACCCTCCTTCCAGGCCGTGCGTTGGTACGTTGGCTCCTGCCCTCTGGGGCATTGTACCCAGGGGCCGTTTTCTTCTCAGCCGCCCCCTAACAGTCTGGCAATGCCAGTCCCTGCACAGGGGCCCTGTAAATGCCAGATCCCCTTCCCCTCCCCCGACTGCAGCCCTTCTTGCGGGGCAGGGGTGCTGAATGGGTCTGATGGGGGCCGGCTGGGATTCACGATGTCGCAGTCACTGTGATTGTGACATTGACCGGCGGGTCGTCATCAGCAAGATCTGGAGCTGGGGGAGCCTCCTGGGTGGACGCAGGGGGGCTCTGGGTGACACTCTGCAAAAGTGAGAGAGACACAGCAAATCACTGAGAGCTGGGGGCTCCAGACAGCAAATGGCCCTGGGTGAGCACTGTAATCCACCAGGGTCCTCCAGGAACACCCCTAGCCCACCCTAACTGCCCCTGCCCGCCCGCCCCGCACAGTAGGCCTGCGCACTACTGCCATAAACAAGGGAGATAAACCCTCATGCTCCAAGGCACAACCCAGTCAGTCATTTGCAGGGTCAGGAAGAAAGGTCAGGACAGATTATTACATAGCTGCCCACTGCTAGCACATTCTGCCGCCTCAGCCGGGGCCAGCCAGAGCCAAGCACCAGACGTGATGACCAATGATTTACGTGACAGGCTGCACCTTAGGCAGGCTTACCCTCAAATGCAGGCTAGCGTTATGTGCTTAGCTGGGCCCCTCACTGTCATATCAGCTGCACTTGGGCCCCAGTTACCTGCTGCTGCTTCCCCGACCGGGGGGGATGTGGGGGATGTGCCCCCAAGCTCCCCGCCCGTCTCAGCCTCTGCCATGCCTGCGGCCGTCTCAGCGTCTTCCGGAGTGCTGATGTGTTCATGAGCCTCTGGGCCAGCCCTGGGGACACGGGGGGGAATGTCCCTAAAACCGTTCCTCACAGACCGCCCAGCAGGCGCCAGGGGTCCATTGGGGGGAACTGTGCATGGAGATGGGTGCTGGGGTGGAGCTAGAGAGCCATGGAAACAAGTCCCCGGACGTGCCTGAAGGGAGCGTCTGGCCAGCAGGAGGGTGGGGGGAGGAAAGGCAAATTGAGCCATGGGGAAGGAGGTGCGGGGGGTGATGCCAAGGGAACGCTGGGCAGGACTGGGGCTGCCCTCGTGACGCGTTGTTTGTCCAGATCTGTTTGTCTGGCCTGGCTTTTGGCTCTTGGGAGCAGGTCCACTGATTTCAGTGCAAGTTTGGAGCCTAAGCACCTTTGAGGGTCTGGCCTGGAGTGCCACATCTTGAGCCCCTGGGGGTCCAGCCTCGGACACCACAAGGTCCCGAGCTCTCAGAGCTACACCTGAGGCAGCTCGGGGATAAGAGCGTGATCAGCGGGGTAGTCCCAGGAGGGGAAGGTGGCCGGGGGTGATCGGCGGTGGGGGGCGGAGGGTGTCTGATCAC